AAAAAAAAACTAACCCTACATTAATGAAAAGTCACAAAGAGAGTCCAAAAAGCACAATAATAGTACAAAAAAATGCTTTCCTATTTCCTCCCATCTTAATGTATAAATGATGGGTTTCAGCCTGTCCATTTGTTGATATCAGGAGCAAATATGTTGATCTTAGTGGATAAATTAAGCCTAAAAATGTGCCTCTAAAAAAATCAGTTAAAGCCACAAAATTCCCATGTTCTTTCCAACAGTTTTAGCACACAACAAAGCCCAGAGTTTTAAACTGTTAATCACAGAATAATGAGAGTGCGAAAGGTTAAAGGCACAGACTCACGTCCTCTCGGGGCTGATGTACCAGTCTCCAGCCCAGGACCAGCCGGGTGAGGGTTTGAAACTCTCTTTGGGCAGTTTAACTCTCCCGGTGATGTCGCTATACTTGGGGTAGGTTAAACCTGTAGTTCCCCAGCTGCCCACCAGGGCGAGCCGTGTCTGGTTCTCATACTACAGACAGAGAGAAAGAGGCAGGGTGGGATCATTGCTGATATTTAAAGACTTCTTTATGAGACTTCATTCTAGTTCTGTCGACTTCTTACCGCCTCAGCAAAGACAGACAGTTTTCCTTCAGCGTATTCATTGAAGTGTTTGACATCAGCAGCCAATCCAAACCAAACTTTAACCCTCAACTGACCGGGAAGTTTGGCTTCTCCTCCACTGCCCTGTGGACACTGCACAGCAAACACATACAAATGGTGAGTCACACTTTGTGTCAAGAAGCTGATTAAAGTAAGAGGTGTAATGTCCTCTGATGTTACTCGACTGTGAGTGTGCACCTTAAGAAAGACAGTCTGCAGCTGACCGCAGTGTTTCCCACAGTGCTGCTGGGAGAAGATGACGGTGTGTGCTGGGATGCGGTGGTACGCTACCCTGCGGTCACCCTGCAACATCCATATCACGATGTCTGGAAGGCTGTTCTGGGGCTGGAAGATTGACGTAAAGGAGGAGAGAGAAATTAGTGGTAACGAGTTTTCTCATTAAAGGATCATTTAAATGAATAATAGTTTATGGAGAATGTGTCTATGGCTCCATCTCTAGGCCAGATAAACGTTCAGAGAGGAAATGGTTGGTTAGCTTGTTTTTTTCAAAGCTCATCACCTTGAATAACATTTAAAATTAATACTTGAATTCATTATAGGAAGACCAAGAAAAGGAGAAAACTTATATGACGTTTGCTTAAAAGTGACTCAATTTATTTATTTTTAAAGCTTTTTGGAGCTCTAGAAGTCTCCTGTGCTCACTTTCACCCACCAGATATCAAGAGCTTCTGATTCAAACTGTAGAAGTTTATTTAAACGCACCTCTTCAGTCATGGTCCTCAGCCTGTTGGCCCAGTCCTCAGCCTGCTCCAGCATCGTGGAGAGCTCAGTCTCCGGGCCGTGTTTGAGAGCCAGCGCCGCCGCAGCGATCTGCTGCAGGTGGAGGGTACGAACGTGCCTCAGCGAGCGATCCAGAGGCGTTGCACACTGCCACTGATCGAGTGAGGGCAGCTCATCACTGGGAAAAGAGAGCGAAAAAGACGGGAAGCAAACATGGCAAAAAATGAAGAGTTCACCAGTGAGAAGTCACGGGGCTAATGATGTGTGCAGCACATGGTGGTTGATAAATATCATTTTTTTTTAAACAAAGAACAAAGATTATTGTCACTAAAAATAATTAATGTACTTTTAATGCTCTAGAGATGATTGCTGCTTAGCTCAATATTATGCATTGAGGCTGATGCATCTACATGAACTCACTTAAACTGAGTCAGTTCCTTGGATAGAGATCATTTTAATTACTCTATAATTTAACCAGAAAAAATCTGTCGTGAAAGGAATTTAACTATTTTTTCCAGCAAAGTCTTAATGACACATTAACAAATAAAAAAAACTTCCCTGGATTTCCCTCCCTGCAATGAAGCACATATAAACACTCGGGAATAAGTGGATCACAATAAGTTTAAATAACTGAGTTTACCTGCAGTCACTGATAAGCTGATCCAACAACTCCACCACTCTGAGCTCCACCTCCTCCAGATCACCACCAGCCTTTACTGCCAGCTGCACCCTCTGCAGGTTCGCCTCCTGGACAGACAAACCCGTTCACTCAGTTAAAGCTCAGCATATAAATTTAACAACCGACTCCAGGGAGCTTTGAGTTAAATTACTAACACAGATTTTTTTAATGTAATTTTAGATAAAAAAAAAAAAATAACATAAAATAACTATTATTTTCATGTTTAAATATCTGCATAAAAAATAAAGTATTTAAATCTTCAACTTGATTTAGTTGTAACAAGTACAGATGAAGACACATTCGGGCACACACCAGCCTGTCTGTGATGGTCAGCAACATGTTGAGAGCCTCGATCCTTGGCTTGATGTCCTCCCACTCAGAAGAGAGAACAACCACCGGCTTAACATTTCCCCATGGGAGGTAGTAATAGTGGCAACCTGAAACATACGCACATACATTTATATAGGCAGTAAGAATAGAGACAGTGTTGTAAAAGCAATTAAATCACAGTTTTTAAATCACAATCTGCATGAAATTAATCTGCGTTATAAAAATACACATTTTTAATCATCTGAACTGCAGATCCATCGAAATCTGATCATTGAACACCAATCATCCTCTGTAAACTATATTTGACTTTATGATTTGAGAACTAATACATACTATCTGAAACATGGTTCTCTGTTCACTACATATGCTGTATATCATTTATTTATGCGTAATTGTTATTATTATTTTCACTCATTTACTGCTCAAGTGTACCACTTTGTTACATTTGAACATTTCTCTTGTTTTTCTGCACACACATTTAGGTGTACAGAAGACATAAACTACCCAACAGCTCATGATTTCAGTTCTTTTTAGTTCCCAGAGTGTCAAATACTCTGAGTTGTTGGTATCTCACAGATAAACATAAGGTGTGTATTGGCATCTTAATCTGTCTCATATGGAAGATTGCAAAGGCGTCATATTTATACACACGGGGTAAGTGTAATATGTTTAGCATTGATGTTTTTCATGGGTATACCTAGCCAGCAAGTGAAAACTGAGGAAAACAAAGTTTCAAATGAGAAGTTGACTACACTCGTCTGGATGGCAAATACTGTTGACGTACGCCAACTACACTGCTTCACCTGGGGTGCCAAGTGCATCACCACAGGCTTTAGTACGTGTCTGTAGTGGCAATCATTTTTTGACACCTTGGGATCTTGAAAATGTTTACATTTTCTTTTATTAGTACATAAAGTTATATTTTGAATATTATCCTTCTGAATGTTACACCGGTTCCAGCCTGACCTTTGACCTCTGACTCACCGTCAAACACTGCCCTGCTAAACTGAGTAGTGGAGGCCAGAGGAAGGCAGGTGTAGTCGAATTTGTTGCCGTAGTTGCCGATGCTGACTTCAAACTGGATGGCGTCGTCGACGTCCTGGAGGAGCGTGGCCGAGTAAAACGCAACGAAGAGCGAGAACTTCCTCTTCCTGAGAAACTTCTGCATGATGGCGAGGGGCGGTGAAAAGAGGGATCAGTGTATCTGTCTAATTATCCATCTCTCTTTCTATCTGGAATCAGGTTCTAATCTCTCACCTCCACCACCAAAAGATCATCTGAGGGTATGTCTTCAGTTTTTTGCTCCGGCTTGTCCACCAGTTTCGTGGTAAGTTCCAGTAAAACCCGGCCTCGGTATGCCACGCCCTCCCCCTGACGGACAGAAAAAAGGGACAGACGCTGGCACTGTCACAGTTTGTCATTACGAACCCAGTCTGTGTAGATAACCTTTAAACAAATACACCTCCACAGCCTGAATATACTGTAAAACATGTGATACCATTCCTAATGAAGCCTTGAGCTGAATGTTCTGATCCAACAACATCTTGATATTTTAAAACCAAGGGACACTGTGTGCTCATCTGATACAGACTGGGCCTGCCCAAAAGCAGGCTAATTCTCTGTCTAATTCTCCTTTTTGTGCTCCAAATGGGTCCATAGTTTACAAAATGAACATGATATTGAATTCAAAAGGACTTGAAACTAGCCATGGAGATCATGAACTCATTAACAAAGATAAATAGGTTACTTTTCCCAAGTTAAGAGCCTCATGGGGGTCATTGAAGGCGGTGAACTCTCTGGGGCTGCCGTATAGGTTTACAAAACATGGACCAAATGTTGGCAGGAAACCAAGACTGTCATCCACTGTGGGGACAAAAAGGACATAATGTTTTATTATGGAGGGGTTAAGATGCAGAACTATGATTAGAATCAAGAAGGTGTGATTAAAAACAATTAAAGTCATCAGTTATTTTCTAGATTTCTCCAAAATTAAGCCATGATTGAAAGAGATTTGAGTTTAGAGAAGAGAACATCACAACAGTGAAGTGAGACAGTGCAAATGACTGCCAAACTCTTGTACACAAAAGCGTTACAGTACAGAGAGGATGGTGGACGTACTGCCAGAGTGGACGCTCCGTGGAGTCAAGTCATCTGAATGCGTAGAGAGGAAGGATGGTTCAGAATCACAGAAAAAGAGGAAACAGATGTCTTTTGAACGCCACTCAAACTCAAAGCCCAAACACGACATGCAAAACACTTCAGCCTAGCTTGTTTGAAGTACATGACTTTAAACAAGGTGGGCAACCGAGTAATGACAGAAAAAGGTACTTAATATAAAATACTTTTAGAAAAACTTTAGAAAGTCTATGAAAGATTAAATATTTTTGTCCCTGATTATTGTTACTTTTACCACATAAACAATGCTGATAAGTTAGACCCTTGCTGCCAGAAGCAGCATCAACACTATTTGTGAGTCAGATTTAGAGGGAAATCTGGTTGATGGCCTTACAACATGAAACAGGAAATCACTCACAGTTATTGGCAACAGAAGATAAAGAAAGGAGGAAAAGAGCTGATGAAAAACATGAAGGTGAGTGAATCACTTTTAACCATGGGTGGTTATTAAAGATGAACACAGGCATCATGGATCCTTAAGTCCTCTTTCGAAGCCTACAGTTAAACATTTTTGCTCTTGCCAACTTGTTTTTTTTTTCAAACCAGGTGTAATGAGGGATGTAGTGGATGAAAAAGGGTCTTTTTTGCAGCACCGTAGAATACAACATAGAGTTTTCTTGAGTACTGCAATACTTCTGGCACAGTGACACAGCTTACTGCACTGATACAATAGAATAAAATGGAATAGAACATAATAGCCTATTATTGTCAATGTACACGTACAACGAAATTGTGGGTGCTCCACACTAAATAATAAATATAAATGGTAGACAGCAGGAATTAATAGCAAAGATGATAAATATATACGGGGATATATACAAGACAAGAGAAATGTATATAAAACACTTTAGAGAACATGTTGCAAAGTGCTTGGAAGTAGTGCAAAAATACTTGATCTGAGTATAAAGTCTGTATGTGAGTTGCCTGAGTGATGAAGGTTACTCAGACCATGGCTCAGAGAAGCATACAGTCCCAGCAGGACAAGTTCTCTACCACTGCTCTGTACACTGTCTCATCTCCTTCAGAGATGAGCCCAACCAACAGTGGTGTAATCATCATACTTAACGATGACGTTTGTTGGGTGGGTTGGTGTACAGTCACATGTGTACAAGGCGTATAGTAGGGGCCCTGGGGTGATCCGATGCTGAGTGACAGTGGAGGGGAGAGGTGGGAGTCGGACTGATTGAGGCCGGTTGGTGAGGAATGTTATATTACTTTTCTGGTGTTTCCTTATCATGGTCTGGTTAAAATGGCTCATTGTTATTCACGTATTCCAGACAAAGAAGAAATTACATTTACCACAAGCAGTGACCAAAGCTCATGCACCTTCTCTTTTTTTGCAGCTGGGGGCATCAAAGACTGAAAACTCAAGCAGTGTCAGTGTTTCCCACACAAACATTACCGAGTTAGTCTTCATGCATGCCACTGAAGAAACATCCATGCATCTTATTCACAAACCACGGGTTCATTTGGTGTTTCAAAACTTTACACTTCAAGTTTTCAAACGCTAAAACAAAGACATTAACTGAGATGTGCACATCTGGAAGTCACTACAACAGTAAAGACAGTATGTTTAATAGATCCTGATGAAAACTACCACACTAGCAAAGCCATAAACTATAAAGTGATGCATTCAGTTAAAGTGGTGTATTTCAAAGCTGCACACACTTGAAGGCATTCCTTCAACACAGTCAAAATCTCAGTTTTAATAGTGTCAGTAATACTAATTGTGTTGTGTGCACAACAAAGGGGGAAGGGAAATCCTATAATATGCACCACTTGGATGGTTTTGCTTATTCAAAAACAACTTATCCAGTAGAACTGCTGTCGAAGCACACAGTCAACAAGGTTAGCAAAACATTTCATCAGAGCGAGTGGAAAAGTCTGTTGTGAACACAGACAGCAGCACCTGAGACAAACAGTTATCACGTCTAATTGTTCAGGTTCAAGTAAACGTGTGAGCGAATGGTGTAAACATTGCACACACACCATGGCAGAAGTTGTTTAAAGTCTAATAGATGCATCTACTGATTCAGGCTGCAGCTCCTGAGGGTACTAAGTTAATAGCTTAAGTGTTTGCAGGGAGTATCAACCATACCGATCAAACTGGGTCATTTCCTGAGCTGACGTGTTAAAAAAAATAAACAGAATAAAGCTCAGTGTTTGATCTATAGTACTGTGTTCACTTTTACCCTGTAGGGTGTAGAACTTCACTGTAGTCTGTCATACACCTCCCCAGAAACTTTACCGCAGCAACCACTGTAGGTCTGTTTGGTGATAACTAGCACAAGGATAATCCATGAAACAAAATGAAGCAGGCTGCAGCTGTCTTTAGGAAACAGTTTAACTGGTATCCTGTCAGTGTAGACAGTGCTGTTTCACTCATGTTTAAACCGGTCAAATTACACACATTTATATAAATAGAAGACAGAACTAAGGTTTTTATAGTTTTGTGGCT